ATATTTAAGTTCTTATAGGCTGGATAATATAGGGAATAACCAATTAACATTTGAGAGGCACAGAGTGTACCAAGAGAACTTCGGTTGGAATGAATGGATGTTCTGTTTGAAAACTCATATGAGTATATTGACAACAATGAAGAATCATTCATTCAGTAAGGCAATATACACCTTCCAATGTATGCCTTTCCTAAGTTGTTTAGCAGATAGAAGTACAATTTGAGAGCAAATGTTAGGCTTTCTGAAGTAACTTTTAAAAAGTGTTCAGTGAAAACTCAAAAGGTAATCTGAGTTCAAGGGATTTTTGGGGGGGGGTTAAGAGTGGGCAATTTTTACTTGATGCGATTACACTACTGTACAGCAGAACAGATGTCTTTTTAAAAAAAATTTACAACTGCGAAAGTCAAACTGCAGAAACAATTACTAAAAAAGACTCCTACTATTAAAGGGAAAAAAGATTTGACAGAACTGTGTTTTAAGTCAGCCAGTTGATAGCCATCCCCTCCCTCACAATAGGATCAGATTAGATGCTCCACATCCCTGAATGCAAAGTCCAAAATTGTGTAGCCCCGTAATTGAATTGCCATTTCAAATGTGTTCCAATTTTAATACAAAAGATAAGCACACAGTTCTTACAAGTTTCAACAGTCATCTTTTCCTGTTTAATGTTACCTCAACTCTTTGAAGATTAATAAACACTGGAGACTACTTTTACTTAGAAAAGGAAGAACTGCAATGTTTATATGGCAATCCCAGGCTAAAGATCAAGTTTACTCTGATTCAGACAGGAAATAGGGTAAGGTAAGGTAAGGTAAGGTAAGAGAGCCAGTGGTTAAGGCACCAGGCTAGAAAGCAGGAGACTGTGAGTTTGTCCTGCCTTAGGCATGAAAGCCAGTTGGGGGACTTTGGGCCAGTCCCTCTCTCTCAGCCCAACTCACTTCACAAGGTTGTTGTGGGGAAAATAGGAGGAGGAAGGAATATTAGGTATGCTTTGAGTTATTTATAAAAATAATAAAGGTGGGATTTAAAAAAATCTGACTGGTAAATCCAAAATGTTCCAAAGAAAGAATTCATGATGTTTACCCAAGTCTTTCCCTATTGGTCACCCATTAAATTTTGATTAGCAACCATTAGCAACAAGAAACTACATTTATAGACCTGATCTTGGCAATCTGCTGTATTTGTAATGATGAGTTAATCAGCAAAGATACGGAAGGACTCAACTGGGGCTTTTTGTGTTCTTCTGCAAAAATGTCACTAAAAACCACTCGCTATTTTCTTCCTGAATACTGTATAGGAAATTACTTTTGCCTCCCAGGATGGATCATATTCCTATAAAGATTTTCAAAAATAAGAATCAAATGGTAGAAATGGGAATGTTGATGAAGATATTGATAGAGTAACAGAGAGTAAGGGATGGCTACAGTTGTGAATAGATTAGTTTCAAGTATTTCATCATTAAGCTAGTAGTGCCTCTGTTTACAGAATCTGGCTTTACTGAAAGCAAAATCTCCAGGCTTTATTATAGGGCTAAGTCTAACCCAAACAGTGTATCGCTGTTTATATTAGTGTTGACATTCATATAAATACCATTGTCATCATTTCAAGTGCTCTGGTTTCATTGATACAAAGGCAAATAAGGCTGATGACTTTCCAGGCCTTAGCAACAAGACACCAAGTGTATGGCTGTTAAAATTATGTTCTGAGGTTTAATTTGTATATTGTGTGCAGAACCTTGAATACTACAGTGATAGATCTATTCTTTAATTTCTTCATTCCTAGAAACAGAAGTTTGAGCTTTAACAATTATATGAAAAAACTACCCTGGAGTTGCAATTTTTCTCCAGTTCCTGATGGGTGGGGAGCATATTTATTTACTTTAGTTTAGTTTAGAAAATAGTCTCTGCTTCTGCTCTGACCATTTTCACCAATATTTAGTTCATATATTTTGTATTTTGGGGTTGAACTCTGATGCATATTTAGCTATTGCTCTCCTTGCTCCTAGATATGCTTTAAGTAAGGAGATTGAATGGTTGTAACTTGTAATATGAACATAAGAACATACCTGCTTTATTTATTTTCCCACCTTAGTCAGTCAGTTGCTTTCAGGAAGTTCTCATGAAGGTGATGAACTATAACAAAAATAAGGACCTTCTAAAAGTGTTACCATCCCCCAAACTTTAAAACTAGGTATATTCATAGTAAATAGATGAGAAAATCAGGAGCTGAAAGAAAATATGGTTATGTGCAGTTTGTTTTCTTTTTTGCAAACCTGCTCTTTGTATTATGTCTGTTAATGAGCGCTCGAAGATTCTTTTAAGATCCCTGTTTTATCTATGTGCTATATGTATATTTTTTGGTGTGTGTGACTGATATTCACTGGGGCAGCTTACATAGAGAATTGTTAATACAATTGCTGTTACATTTTTAAAGATGTTACTGTTTTCAGATAATCATGCTAAAATGATCAAGTCATCTTTGTTTCTAAAACCATAGATATTGATGAATGCAGTACCATCCCTGGCATCTGTGAAGGGGGCGAATGTTCCAACACTATTAGCAGTTACTTCTGCAAATGTCCTTCTGGATATTCCACGACCCCAGATGGCACTAGATGCATAGGTGAGTAAGGAATTGCAAACACAGATGTGGATATGGGTAAGTCTGTGTAACACAACACATGGAATCCAGCTTTTTGAATCCAATAAAAGATGCAGAATTTCACAGAAATGTGATGTTAATTTTCGAGGTACTGAAGAATCCCCCTGAGGTTAGCTTTCATAAAATGGTTATTCATCTGTGAATTCCCTTCTGCATCTTTAGAAGGAGCAAGACTTGGACCAGCTTTCTTCCTGCTTTCCCCTAACCAGATATTGGCAAATCCTGTTTGTTTTAAGGAAACGACCCTCTTTGACTTGGGTTTGAAATTGTGTTTTAAAACCCTGTGACTCTAGAGCTCATACCCATTTTCCTCTATTTCTAAGGTCAAGCAATATATGTAATTGATTAAAAAGCACCCCCCAAAAAAATAAACCAAAGAGTTTCCTATCATTCCAACATCTGATATACCTTTTGGACAGCTTTCTTGAACTCAGTTCATCTGGATGTTACTGCCTACAACTTCCGTCATCCACAAGAGGGTCCTTGGTCAAAGTTAATGTTCTCCTGTTAAGGAACATTTACAAAATACCTTAAAAAAAAAAACTATTTTCATTTAACCCAGTGTTTCCTGATAGTAGATACATGCATTTTTTAATCAGTGGCAACAGTATGTGAATGAGCTGCATATTTCAGCAGTCTGCAAGAATAAGAATGCAGCTTAGGTTGGCTTTGCCTGGGATGTATTGGAAACACAGATGTAATATGAGAAGAAAAAAAAGTATTCAGAGACTGAGGGAAAAAAATCAGGAACCACTCCCTTCATTAAAAGAAAGGAGAGAGAGAGAGAGAGAGAGAGAGAAAGAAAGGAAAAAAGGGATTATAAGAATGCAGCTCTTATGACTTAACCTCTTTCTTTTGTTAAGTCTGGACAGTTTCTGGGTGTTCCTGTTTGAAATACAATCTGTGCACTTTTCCAAATGCAGATTTTACATATCAGTTAATGTCAGAAGGGGTCACTTGAGGGGAAAAGGCAGAACAAAACTGACATGGAATAGAACCAATCGTATGAAATTTACTTTTTCCTTAGAAATCTGGAATGCATTTATTTTGGGAGGTGATTCATTTTGGATGCCTTTTTTTAAAGTTTAGGGGGGTATTTGGTGTAGACCTCACAAGAGTAGGTTAAAATGCATTTTCCTTGCTAATTACCCAGTGTAAAATATTATAGGTACAATAACAAAAATAACTTTTGCTCTATATGGAACAACAAATATATTTGTGATTATTAATTCTGGAAGCTGTTGGCATTTGGAATTCTAGACTCCAGCATTTGACTTGTGGTATGGGACTGGTCACAGTCCTGCTTTTCTGTATCCTCCCAAACCAGATTATCTTGATTCTGGTGCCACTGCTTGATCCGTGGTTTTGAAAATGTGGCAAGATTCTCTGTAAGAGTATTCATATTATATTTATTTTAATAGTTTGACCATGTAAGCCACCTAAGATTTTTTTTTTAAAATTTTGAAAAACAGACTGTAATAAATAAAAGTAAAGTATAAATTTTAGCAGTTTCGTGGAGAAGAATAACATTTTCCAAACTCTTAGTCCGTCTTAATTTGAGTGTATCCCTCTTGGTTTACCTTGAAGACTATTTTGTGATTTGAATGCCAGCAAGAAAGCATTTTGCCCAAGTTCTTTCTTTTAAACCAGAGGCGTTCAGCCTATGATCTGTGATGCCTTATACATAGCCTTAGGAGCTCCTCTACAATTTGCTGCCAAATTGTAATTTTTAATGTGATAAAAGTACTAAAAAAAGTACTAAATACATGAGGAACTATCTTACAAGTCCCAATTGGTGGCAGTACCTTGTCAAAAACCTAAGCAAGCTCAGACCTGGTTCATACTGGCTAGTTGAGCAATGGCAAAATACCTCTATACTGAACTACAGAGCAGTACATAAAAATGGGCAGAGCTTCAATCATACCATCTTAACTTTTTCAACCACACCGTGCAGACACCCCTGGACGTGTCTATGAAATTATCAGCTGGACACCAGGAAGGCTTTACTTTTACATCTCATTACTTTATTAGCTATCTTTTATTTAATAATTAATTAGTTTTGTCCTTGATCTCACCTGTTTCCTTGCCCTTGTCCTGCCTACTCTTCGAGGTGCCAGCCCTAACACACCGCTCAAATAGCAAGAGCAGTCAGCCCGTAAAAAGGTTGTGAACCCCTGCTTTAAATATAGCTTTGGACTCATTTGGACTGTCTTCTTGTCTGTCTTCTGCTTTCATATCCATGATGTGAATGAGAATACGGCTAGCCAAACTATCAGGAACTGAAATCGTTCCTTGATCCAAGATCAGAATTCCTAAAAGAAATGTGAAGGGATGTGCCCTGCCTTAATTATGAAGTTGCAAAGAATGTTTGGATATATTCCCTTTTTTGGTTTAGCAGCTTGTGGGGCAAATTATCTTGATCAAGCAATGTCTTCATTGTCCATGTCATAGGGTGACAACATTTCTTACAGAATTCAAACTTAGCTCATGTCTTGTGATGTCTCCAGACTCAAGTATTTTAATGTAATAACTGGATATTTTAGCAAGGACAAGAAATAGTGAAAGTGTTATTCCAGACCCCTAGCCATTCTTAATTTCAGCAACATTTTCAAGACAAAATGTGTTAAATGCAAAACTTGACTAATTCTCCGCAGATAGCTTGGGTCTGTACCTTCTACGTTTGCAGTATTTAAATTATGCTAGCCAAAACCGATGGAACTGGGCAAAAGATCTAGTCTGGAATTAGTCACACGATGTTAGTCCAGAAGTCCTTTTCCTTCTCTGCATTTTCTATGCCTGTAATTCAGCTGGAAAGCTCTTCTTGGCCAGGATCGGGTTTGATTTAAAAACAGCTCTTTTCCTTTTCCTGTTCCACATCAACCATATTTCTCAACTGAAACATCTTTACTGAAAGGTTTTCTTAGTACAATTTGGGGTGGGAAGCAACTCTGCTTGCAGAAATTATAGATGCCTGAGAAATAGCTCCATCCTGGAGCAACTCAAGCTGAAAAGGCTTGGACTTGAGACAGACAATAGACTTTAAAACAGGAGATAGGAAGCAGATCCTGCAGTAAGGATAATGAAAGGATAGAAAAGAGCATTCTGCCCTCTGTTGCATCTCAGATCACTTCTCTCCTTCACCTCCATGTGCCTAGTCAAAGTTTACTTCTCTCTTCTGCTGCCCTAGATTGCTCGTCTTTCTCTACCCACATTGATCCATGACCACCTTTTTTTGCAGCCACATGGACATCAGGAGCTAAGGCAGGTGAAGGGCAAAAAGAAAGCTGGCAAGTGGAATGAACTGGGAACTGGAGAAGGAGGAGGTATCAAACAGGGCAATTGTGAATAGCCTTTATTATATGGGAGAACGTGTGCTGAAATGTCCATTTAGTGGGCTGTAAGTTTTCAGACAGTAAGAAGACCTGCTCAGGCTCTCACACGCCTTGTGACTGTGGCTAAATTCTATGATCTGACTCTTAATTGTACATCATTGTTGGGATCAGGTGGAGCTGCAGGAAGCAAAGGAAAAGTCCTGTAGGAAGGACTTTGTAGACTCAGGTGGAGCTGGAGGAAGCCAAAGCAAAGTCCTAGATCAAGAGAACGTAAATTTTAGTTTAGAATTTTGGAGCTCAGTGTCTCAGACTGGAAAAACGATCTATGAAGTACAGCAAACGAGGGACGATACTCTCTGCTGGGCAAATACTTCTACAGAGTTGACCAAATCAAATGTTTCATATTGCCAATGGATCACTGTCCCAAAATCCAACATAACTCAAGACTGATCCCTTCTTCAACTGGAAAAAAAAATGTCTTCACATCAGTAGCACTAGATGGGCTAAACCTTTGACCTGCTGAACTGGATACATTTTCCTGATTCCTTGGAGAATAAATTCATAACTGCTTTATCTTTTGTATTCTTCCTGTTAAACTTTTAATTATTGATAGGATGCTGTTTTTTTTTAAAAAGACATAGCCACCCTGAGTGTTTTGATTATACCTTGAAAGGAAAGGTGGGGTTGTAAATTGATTGATTAGGTGCCATCCAGTCATTGTCGACTCTTAGCTATGACATAACTAGATACTTTTAATAAATACCTTACAATATTTTAAAGTATTTTAAAATATACAAGTATTTAAAAGCAAAAGTATTGGGATTTGAGTGCAAGAATGGGCTGCACTGATTTACTAGATTTCAGACTCGAAAATTCAGAAAACCTGTTTTTTTTTTCTTACAAGGGACAGTAGGCTGCCAATATAACAATTATGTCTGCGACTCTTTCTTCCCAAGAATGTGAGAGTGACCTTTCTCTCCCTTTACAAACAGGCTTGTTTTATTACTCAGCATCAAATCACATAGTTGCTTCTTATATACCAAAACTGACATGAAGAAACGCCTTGTGCAATAATTGCTCAAAACTTCAGACCATGTTTCGTTTTGTTTGCTTTTACAGTCTTATTGATTTCTGTTTTTCCTCGTCCTTTTTATTCCAAAGGAGGTAGAATTCTTTTGCTGAACATCTCTAATGATGAGCCTAACATCTTGGGTACATTATGTCCTCTAGATGATATCTGCCAGGGTATTTTCAAAATGGAGCCAACCCATTTTGATAAACCGTTTTGAGAATACTGATTGATTTGCATTAAACTTGCTTGCCCTTCACTTGTATCATTTCAATCTTGACCTTTGTGGGGAAACCTGGGCTGAAGGACAGAACTAAATGAAAGCTTGGTTGACAGGGCACAGGGACTAGCGTTTTCTTGGTCTGCAGCTTTAGGTGAAAGCCGAACAGCACATACTCCAATCCTCCCATTGATTAATACATTCCAGAGCCAGTTGTATTTATTTCCAGTCCATGTCATTTGAGCTTAGCCAGAACACGTTTTCCTTTTCTAAATTATTTTTTAGTTTAAAACATTTACTCAAAATAGACACTTTTATAAAAATGGCTAAGGAGACATTCAGAAAGGTGTAAAATCTGAGGGATGGAATATTCCAAACCGTAAGAAATGCAGATAAAGTCATTTTTGATGGAAATTGGGGTGGGCAGAGGAGTTCCTCACATTTCTTTTCTAAGTGCAATCATGTTTTGGTGTAAAAGTAGCCTTGCCGTTTTTTTTCTCACTGCTTTCCCTGACATACTTGTGTCTTATTTGCAGATAATGCCATAATTTACGGCATAGCTGTGAATAATAATATTGATTGAGCAAATTAGCCTAAGGGATTTTGCTCCATGGAAATCTACTTTAAATCTCTCTTACACACACACACACACACATGGGGGGGAGATGTACCACATATACAGACATTGCTCCTAAGATTAAAAAGCTGTGCTGAACCATTCAGGCATAAATTCTAGACTTCTGTATCCAGAGTCATAATGCACTTAGGGTAATGTCTGCCTTCATACGGTAACATGCTAAGCCAACCCGCCCAACTTCATTTGGCTCACCGGATGTTTGTTTTTCTAAATAAAACCCTGAATGTCTTTCCCAAGATCCTTTGATACCACTGGTCCCATCAAAGTTGCCTTTTATTTTTTTTATTTTTGGCTGACTTGTATCCAGTCACTTTTCCCCATTTTCTTGAATGGGTTATTCTTATATTTGAAAGAATATAAGAAATAAATGATACAAATAGGAAGATTGGGTACAGGTAGTGAAATATGGACAGATAAACAACGAATCTGAAATATCATAAAACTAATATATTCCAGGACATCATTAGAAGTTTATAATGTTGTAAGTTATTCCATGTCCATTTTCTAATCAAAGCCCATTGTCTATATTGAACTTTAAGCTAAAATGTTTGGGTAACACCGTTCAAACAATTACAAAAGTCTCTAGATTGTAAATAGTACATTAAATCAATACTGTAACTTATGCATCAAATTAAGATATGAACTCTAAAACCCAAATTTTGAACGTGGTATAATTCCATGTAGCCCGGATCCATGTCAGAGAGGTGTACTTCCTAAGTTTGAGAATAGATTGAAATTGTTTTGGCTCCCCAAATTTGCCATTTGCTGCACTTAGTATGAGCACTTTTCTCATATCTGAATTTTTTGCCATATCTTACTTGGGAAGGAAAGTAGCTTGATTTGACACCTGCTTATTAGCATCTGGAGGTTGAGTCATGGCAACTGGACTTCTTTTCTTTTGGTCTGATACATTTTGATGCTTGTCCAAGCAGCTTCTTCAGTCACCTGTGATCCAGAGGAATCATGTAAAGTTTTCTCAGGAAGTAGCATCTTGTGAGATAAAGACAAAATGAAAGGAGTGGAGAGAATGGGAGATAAGGAAAGAACAAAAATATTATAGTAATATATAACTATAATTCATACCAAGCCATAAAATATTTAGCAAACTACTGGATGTAATGGGTAGATTCCCTGTGGAAAGGATTGTATGTGTAAGGAGAGAAATACTCTTTATCCACCAAAGAACTGTTCTCAAGAGTTGAAGGATGTTTCTATTTCTTTCCTGGAACAGATGTACGCCCAGGATACTGTTTTACTTCTCTCACCAATGGCCGTTGCAACAATCAGCTCCAGCAAGTGCTCACCAAAACCCAGTGCTGTTGTGATTCTGGACGATGCTGGTCTCCGGGAGCTACCAGTGCCCCAGAAATGTGCCCTATTCGTGCTACTGGTATGGAATTGATGATATGCCATTTAAATATATAAATCAATAGAAGCGAATATGTGTAGCTCAGGGTTGAACTGTGGAGTCCTTGGGGTTCTCTGAGCTTGGTTGTTTTCTTGCAAATGTTTCATTACCTGGCTAGGTAACATCTTCAGTGCTCAGAGAACAACCAAGCTCAGAGAACCCCAAGGACTCCACAGTTCAACCCTGAGCTACACATATTCGCTTCTATTGATTTATATATTTAAATGGCATATCATCAATTCCATACCAGTAGCACGAATAGGGCACATTTCTGGGGCACTGGTAGCTCCCGGAGACCAGCATCG